TTCATTTTGGGAAACTAGATCTACATTTTGAGAAATTTACGCCTACGTTTTGATAAATTAGACATTGAATTTTGCAATTACATTTTGATTTTAACATGGACTTTTGCTGCGTATGGCACCCCATAGGCCTAAGCCTTGTAATTAGGTCAAGTGTGTTCATTCAACAAATGATTGAGTAAAATGAACATAACATTTCCAGCTCATAATATTACTTTTATTTGAAAAGTTAACACAATGATTTAATAATTTATTTAGTGATTAAACTACATACTGTGCTGTTGTACAAAATTTAATTACGTTTAATAAAAAATAAAAAACAAAATTATAAATTAAGTAGTGCCGTGGTGAACTTGGGGGAATCCCTGCGGCTTGGCGGCCACGCAGTGCTGCTGAAAATGCAAGTTTATTAAAGTATGACTGCGCATGCGTTGTTTACGTTCATTTACGTAAATATATCGTTTACTGATTTGTTTACGACGTAAATATATCCACTTCCTATAAATAATACCTCCATGGTTCAAGCCCTTTTTATTTTCCCCTGCGACGAGGGACGCGGACGCTATCGCGCATGCACTAGCGATCGTCGTAAGAATAGCATTGGGAGCTATCTTCACGACTCGTCGAAAAAATAGTCACTTCGTAAATAAAAACATTATAGTCGCAATAAGTAGGCCTAGGCCTAGAAATCCGTCCGTGCATTTCGGAAAAATACAGACCTGAAAATTAAGTTCTGGTCTGCACCCCATGCGCCGTCATCCTAGAGGCCTAGGCCTACCTTACTTATCTCATGGAGGATGCTTACCTAAAGTCTAAACAACTAGCTTGCTACCTAGAGTGACGCCTAGGACCTAGTCCTATGACCTGGGAATTAGTACATTAGATTATTACATACCGTTGTAGACCATAGGATACAGAAACGCACAACACCAGTATAATTGCTGCCTTCATTTTTATGTAGAAATTACAATTTTGTTAGGCTACTTTCTAAATGTACTGAATTGTGCCTGATATCCCAAAACCACTTTCTCTCTGAGCCTAAACCACAAAGCAGAAAAGAGCTCACACACATAGGCTAGTCATATGATTTCAACCTGGTCAGGTGATGGGTGATACTCTGCAAATTGATAGTCTTGCACAACCAGACACTTTCAACACAGATTGTAATTGAAACCCAACAAAATTGGATACCAAGTGGATAAAATTATTTCATCTAAAATCCTTGCTCTTATCAATATCTATTATTAGGCCTACCCCATCACATTGGCCAGAGGCAGGAAAGCGCATTTCCGAGCATGATAAAATAAAAAAAATCCAGTGAAGGGCCACTGATCCCCTCCAAATTCTGGGTCCACACCACATCATCAAGTCTGCGTTTTGTTTTGTTTTTTTTTTCTTTTTGCCTTAACTGCACCTCGACTAAAGATAATTTATGCCTCTCTGTTTTGAATAACGATGCTGATAATGGAATGGTCACGGGGATCTCCCCGGCGGTGAAATAAAAACAATTCTTCGAGGAGAGAAAAAAAAAATTACAGGGTGTGAGACTTTCAAGTCCCTAATTTGTCAAAGTTTCCTGCCCAGGGGAGTTCCCTAGGACTCATGTGAGTGTTCTAGAAAGTCACTAAACTCCCATCTTTCTCGAAAAAATCATCCTACCCCCAACCTCCCGACCTCTAGGTGTGTCACCAGGAGCCTTGAAATGGGGATAGGGAGTGGATGGGTAAATTGGGCTTGCTTAAGTAAGCGCCACATGGGGTCACCAGGGGGGCGGTGGCCCCAGGGTCCCATCGGGAAGAGCTGCCCCTGCCCGTCGGGGAGTCCCAGTCGGAAAGAGCTGCCTCCCCCACCTCGCCCGTCGGGGAGAAAATAAACGTAGGCCCATAGGGCCTATGTATTTTTTATATACTATTGGTACTCTTAAATCGATTAAATAAGCCTTTGGAACCCGGCCCAAATTGTCATATTTTCGGGGCCCCCGGGCCCCTGGAACACTTTCGAGAGGTTTTGAGCGACGCTCGACCACGTCCACTTTTTCGTCGGGGACATCCCTTTACCGGGGAGAAAAACCACAATTAGTCGAAGAGAAAAAAAATGTAAAAAAATTATACGGAGGCACATTTTGTACATAGGCTCTATTAATAGACTCTAAAATCGATTGAATAGGCCTAAGCCTTTGAAAACCCTTAAATTTTCATATTTTCGGGGGCTACGTTCCCTGGACCACTTTCGAACGTTTTTTGCGACGCCCGACCACGCCTATTTTTTTCTCGTCATGGATATCAGCCCTCCCCGGGGACATTGGACCCCCGTCGGGGAAACCTTGGCAACACCACTGGTTCTTCCCCCGCGCTTATTGAAATTTTAAAATTTAGCATGATTTAGCATAATTTCTCATCAGTCCTAGCATAATTTGATTCGTATCCTGGTCACACTGCTTTCCAGTAGTTTATTATTTTATAGGAAGGACAGATTTTTACATTTCATTTCATTTGTCTCATAAAAATACAAATAAAAACAAAGAAAAATTAGACTGGCTTGCAAAAAAGAGATTCAAAATCTCTGTCAAGTGGGTCGCCAATAAGAACACAATTAAAATTAGCAATAGAAATAGGCCTAAATACAAACAGTAACATGTCATACCATTAGTATATATATTATAGGTCTGTATTATCACCTAGGGCATCGGATTGCTATCAAAAAAAGGAAAGGCAGTGGCGGATAGGGGGTTCAGGGGGTTCGGACGAACGGTAATAGTTATTTATCGTGATGGAATAATCAATCAAGGGCGTCGATCTGTGGTTGAAAGTGGGGGGGGGGGGACGAAATGAAAAATAAAGCCTTGGGCCGAAATGAAAAATAAAGTCTTCCGGGGCCGTAGGCCCAAGCCTAGGTTGAGTACCAGGGGTGCGAAGTCCCCGAGAAGCTCTGGCGCCAATATCCTTTTAATTGATTTTAAACAATGCAATTAACATTAATTTCCAATTTTTAAAATATCCAGTGGCGGATCCAGTAATTTGTTATAGAGCTGGGCTCAGAGAGGGACCTTCACAGATGGAGAGTGTAAACCACCTCAGCCCCACCATGGTTGGGGCTGAAGTAAGAAAATTTATGATTATGGCACCTCTAGTTGGTCGGAAATGGCACTCTCAGACTAGATTTGAATATAATTTTCATTTTTCTCCACTTTTAAATTTCGAGAAAAAAAATTAGGGATGGTGGGCCTTTTCTGATTGCTTTAGTATTTGTTTCCAATTGTATTGCTTGAAAAAGTCACCGTCATTTTTCACTTTTCGATTGGTGCTATGCTGACCACCCACCGCGTAGAGGCTGCATTTACCTCTAGCGACTTTGTTGGCTTTAAATTGCCATTTCGGCTGTTCACAAATCAAATATCTTGTTGTTCATTTCCCCCCACCCCCACGCCCAGTAAATGGAAAGCTGAATATTCATAGATTCTTCTCATATAAAATATATGAATTCCCATTGGATGAAAAAAAAAATCACCATCAAAACACTAATTTCAATATGAAATGTATGGATATTCCTGTATAGGAATTATGCCCGCAAAAAAAAAAAAAAAAAATCGGTTCGAGTGGGAATCGAACCCACAACCTCCAGGTTTCCTATTTATGATCCACCATCAACTGAACTGCCTTTAGTACAAAAAAAAGGCAACTTCAACCCGTCCTCCCACGACCTCCAGGTTTACTACCACTGATGATACCATGACCCTTAAGCCATACAAATACAAAAAAAGGCAACTTAGCCCGTCCTTTCACGACCTCCAGGTTTACTACCCCTAATGATACCATGACCCTTAAGCCTTAAATGCGATAAACATAGTACACACCAAGTATCAGTTAGTCAACTCTGAGACACTACCAGTGTTCGTATATATACAACTGCAGGTTAATATTACGCATGGTCATGGTGTCAAAAGTATAGGTCGCGGGCCAAGAGGGTTTATTTTCGCTTTCTGGAAATGTAGAATTAAATTTATAATCGATTTTTTATTGTTCCCATCTCCATAACTTACACACTTTTTTTAAATAGACAAAAATGTTGAAATATTCATTATGCAAATTAGAAAAAAAAATAGACTAATCATGTTACGAGATTAAATGTATTGTACTCGTTGATGACGTCGCAAATTGCGAAATAAAGTTTTAGACAGTGTTCAGCAATGGAAAGATTTTAATACTGAGGAATAGAAGTTTGCGAAGTCCTTGTCTTGCTTAACCGTTTTTCTTTAATCGTCGTTTCCAACGATCTAGGCGGGCATAGCCTAGCTAGGGCCTAGGCCTATACGCCTACCCCCTGCTGCCGCTGAGCTAGCCTCCCTCGGATTGGACAGTGAAGTATGCCTAGGCTTAAAATGCAAAGTAGAACGAGCAAGAAAAAAACTTTTAAAGAGAAACCCAGACAGGTATTTGTTTAGGTCTGCCTATACTTGTCATTCTAGGCTAACTAGGGCCAATTCCCTTACTTACTTAATATTTAGGCATGAATGAATGGCTTTGAATATGGTAGCCTATGAACTAATTTAATTAAGCACATTTGTATTATTATTATTTATTAAAATATTAATAATAATATTATTATTATATTATTATTATTAGAATAATAATAATATTAAATTATTATTATTATAGGGCCTATTATGGTTATTGAAGTATTTTGTGTAAACCATTTCGGCTCTTAATTGAATAATAATATAACGTACGATGTAAAATGTACTCACTATAAATATTCCATTAGGATATCCTGGACACGGATGAAATATTTATAGTGAGTACATTACATCGTACTTTATGTTATTATTCAATTAACAGAAATGGCTTACACAGAATACTCCAATAACCATAATAATGTAAGTCGTATATGGCATTAACAGTGAATGGTAGATGCAAGCAACAGATGCAACATATTAAATCGATTATTATTATTGTTTTATTGTTATTAAAATATTATTATTGTTATTATTATTGTGCATATTGTTAGGTATACGCTGACGTTACTACAATAACTCAATTTACTAGAACAATTCTTATACAGTACTTGTTTATTTACATTTTTGTAAATTTTGAATGATACGGACGGATAATTATTAAATAAAAAGTTGATTGACACTTGAATTTCATGTTGATTTTTAGTTTTGCTTGTAGCCTATGACAGTGTAGTGGTGATGATTGTTAATTACAGTACAGTATAATAATGGTTACAAAACAATTTAATTAAAAAATATAGAAATGCCAAAATCCTCTGATTCCCTTCGGAGACTGGGTATTTGTTTTAAAAAAGTCTACTTGTACTTCTACTTGGTTGGTTATCCTCCTAATATCCCAGTGAGGGATTTAAACAGGAGGCGTGGAGAGAGTGATCGGTCTAAAATTAGTTTTCGTTGCTTTGCTGTGAAAGTGCAGGTTTGAAGGGGTCGGGGTTTATATTGCAATCAATAATATCGGGCAGGAGATTCCAGTCTTTAATAGTGCGGGGGAAGAATGAGTTTGCATAAACATCGGCCCTTGTCTGATGGATTTGGAATTGTTGGTTGTGTCCTCCGTCTGGGTCTGGCTGGATTTGGTGTAATATAGTCGTGGTGGTTTATGTCCATCAGGAAATTGAGGATTTTGTGAAAGCATGAGCAACGGTGTTGTTTTCTTTTCTCTTGCAGAGGAGTCCAGCCCAGAGTATTTAATATTGAGGAGATAGATGTATCACGTCCGTATGTGTTGGTGACAAACCTAGCAACTCGCCTCTGGATTTTTTTTTTCGAGGTGTTCAATGTTGTTTCTGGGTGTATGGGTCCCAAACAGCTGTGGTCTTACCGTCATAATGCCAACATTTCTTTCGTGTATGTAATTGCATATACAGGATAAGCCTACATAGCTATACTGTACTGTATACGCAATAACAAATACAAAATACAAACATTAATTAGAAGTGTTGCATGACCATTGTGAAATGTACCACCTCCTTTATCATTATTACTTAGTCAAGATTTTTATCATATTACTTAATGAAGATTAACAATCTTGCTTAACAATAATAGCAACATTGCAATACATTACAGTACATTTTACCTTACCACTCCTTTTACAGTATAATTAAATATAATAATATAATACTAAGACTAATGATAATAATGTTAATGATTATAATATTTATACAGTAATAACAATACGGTAATAGCAATGATAACAACAAATGTTACAATAATGATAATAAAATAATAATAATTATTATTATTATTAATTATTATTATTATAGTAATAATAAAAAGAGTGGTAATAGATGTAATTTTAGTACTGTATGCAAAAAAGGTACGGTATCTGTTTAACAAATATTCGGCCATATACAATAACAATAATATAATACATATAATCATAGTTACCAACCGTCTCGCATCATGCGGGATGGTCCCGCATTTCAAAGTGATTTTGGATGAAACACGCATTTTGCAGATACACATGCGTGATCCTAAATTTGTCACGCATTTCACAAAAGTCCATGCGTGATAACGATTTATCACAAATTCAGGGGGAATGTATTTGAAATTGGTTTGAATTCCAAACTTGGACCTGGAATGAATGTATACTTTCTTTTGTGAAATTTTAAAATTTTATTGAATAAAGAATGATTGAAAAAAAATAACAAAATAACAAAAAATAAGAAAATAAAAAGTGATGCAGACGTAACTTGAGTATTAGAGAGTACAGTATTTCCTTGAAAGCCCTACTGTACATATTTCACTAACGAGTTACTAAAAATTGATCAGTAATGAAATATTTGTGTAGGTCTACAAAGTTAGAATGCTCAAGTTAAACATAGGCCTACATTGAAATACAAATTGGCTTTATTAATAATATTTTTGCTTATGTACCTGTATAATCAACAGACACTTCCTGAAATCGTTTTAAAACAACTTAAAAATGCTCAGATCGTCGGGAGTGGGTGGGCATGGTTCCCCTGCCGCTTGGGACCCCCCCCCCCCCCCCCCCCCCATCCCAGCCAACTGGTATAGTCACTTGCGCATTTCAAATCTCTCAGGTTGGTAACTATGAATAAACAATCAACAAACTACCGGGTTGCTGGTTCTCACGCTCTTTAAAAGAACTCCACATGTGCATGGGCGTCGATCGGTGGGAGACAGGGGGGACACGTCACCCCCACTTTTTAAAGTAAGGGGGGACATCATATCGATTGTCCCTCCCCCACTTTTCACCAATCTTCTATAATTAAAACCCCACTTTTAAAAGTGTATGGAAAGAATAACAATTACGCATGACATGAATTTTGCCTGTTCACTTTCCCAAGTGCGGTACGTATTTTCCTGTCCAAAACTGAGTAAAAACGCAATTGTTTATACATTTCATAACCATCTCAGAAACACTAGATCGATTTCATTGGAGCTAAATTTATTGTGAAAAGAATGTACTTAACGATGTTAAAATTGGAAGCGTGTATAGTTATTAGGCCAATGTTTTTACAAACTCAAAATTGCACAATTTATACTATAAACGATTTATTCCTTTTGTATATTACGGTATTATGACCCGTACGTACCGTATATACTAAAACCGAAAGGATTAATCTCAGATAAGAAAGTATAATACATACTCCAAGTATTGAAATACACGCCATCGTGTTGGGATTCAATATTTCGACATTAATTATGTCATCATCAGGAATGATGATGACATAATTAATGTCGAAATATTGAATCAGGAATGATGATGACATAATTAATGTCGAAATATTGAATCCCAACACGATGGCGTGTATTTCAATACTTGGAGTATGTATTATACTTTCGTATATACTAGTGTTTAATATTATCTACATACATAGGATTACTGTTTTTCCTAATTTCAAAAAAAAAATTATAGTTAGTCAACTGAATTTTATATAGTGGTAGCCATTATTAAACAATAATTATACAGCCTTTGACACGGACACGTCTATTATTAAACAATAAGTATACAGCCTTTGACACGGACATGTCTATCTATTTCGATTTAGTGATACCAAAATTTTAAAAACTCCGGGGTTACGTTGACGCAATCTCGCAATGACGTCATAATAATCAGTGGCGAATTCAAATGGGGCCGAGCCAATCCTAAATTGTTCAAAATTATTTTTTTTAAATAGAAAAAACAAAAGCAAAATTATAATTAAAATTTAGGTCTGAGAGTGACATTTCCGGCAATCTAGAGGTGTCACAATCATAAATTTTCTTTCCTCAGCCCCAACCATGGTGGGGCTCAGGTGTTTTCCAAATTGTGCAAGTCCTTCCCTGCCCTCCCCCTATTTTGCATTTCTGGGGCGCCACTGATAATGATAAATTAAGTAAATCACCTTATGTTTGTGAAATCAAAATGCTAACTAATGTTTTGTGTGCTCCCTATCTCCCTGGTCCTGTTTTATCGTAAATTAATAATAATAATAATAATAATAATAATAATAATAATAATAATAATAATAATAATAATAATAATAATAATAATAATAATAATAATAATAATGAAGGTGCTCGAATAGTGCTTTAATAAAGAATTAATAATACTGTACTTCATACTTCAATAGGCCTATTTACGATAGTGTGAAAAATGAGACATTTGAAAAGAATGAAACCCAGGACTCCGGGATTGAAAGGCAGACATGGAGTTGAACAACAATAGGATTACCATACGATTAACAGACTGTTAACAAAACTAGCATATAAGATTATTAAATATGATAGCGCATTATGAAAATATATTGTTTATACAATTTTTATATGACTACTGTCACGAATGCATCAGCCTATAGTGATGTCATCAACTTCAGCTTTGGCCACTCCCATGGATAAAAACAAATCTCTTCACAGTCCGTATCGATTTCGGATTTTGATTACAATTAAACATGGTAAATAGGATAATCCAGCTATTGTTTAAGTAAATATTTACATTGATTTGTCATGTATGTGTATCATAACCAACCACCACCAGGTGTATCCAGTACAGTTACTAACAACGTGTCGTGAACAGTTCTTCTGCAGGTAATATATTCAATTACTGTAATCGTTTTATATTTTTCATATAGAGAGTGCTCCAAAATGAACCAATGCTCACTATAGAACATTTTTGGTTTCCTTCGTTAAAGTGTATGGTATTATCTGGATATTTATATTCTCTCTACAACGATACGCCATAGTGTTAAATTAATTACTATAAGGTATTGGTGGGGGGGGGGTGCATTTCTCAGGTGCTGAAGACCACCAAACCCCAGTCCCGAAAGCTAGTTTTTCCGGGAGGGAGACCTAATCTGTATCAGTATCACAGTGTGAGCTAATATCTGTATTGTACTTTGATTGTAGACAAAAAAATATTGGAAGTAACAAGTATGACGTCATATCTACCGCAACTAATATCAACGAAAGGTAATGATGCTATTCGACCCCATATCTAATTTTATTCCTAGTCACGTCGTTTTTATCCTTCCTTTTCTCTCCTGTACCTTTGTCCGTGTCTTCTTCCCTTGCATCTCTTTTCTCTCCTGTACCTTTGTCCGTGTCTTCTTCCCTTGCATCTTCTCATTTTACTAAATATACCTGGCAACATATTATTATTTCTCTAGTTTTTTTTTTAATATGCCCTATATGTAGAGCTCCCGGGTTCGAATCCCTGTTGGAGCACCTGTTTTTCGACACTCGGAGATTCTTCAACCTTTAAAATCTATTTATACTTAGTGTACATATTTATAGCATTATCACAAGGCGGTATAGAGTTTATCTCTATTTTATCTGTATCTGCATGGGTGCTGCACAGCAGGTGTGCAGGCACAGATGGTATTGCGAATGTCGTGTGGGAAACAGATCGCCACAGCAGAGAACCAGTATTAATTTAATTTAATTTATTGCCTCTCTCTCTTTCAAAGCAGAACACTCTCACGCAGGAGAGGTTCGACCATACAACAGAACAAAAGTTACAAGTAAAGATAAAATTCTTGAAAAAAAGAGATAATAGTAATGAAAAATCCAAATGCAATTCAAATAATATTATTCTAATGTTTAAAATCTTAACTAAAAGGGGGAAAAAAGAAAAAATAAATAATAATAATAATAATAATAAAGTAAATGAAAATAGATAAATAAATAAAAACAAGCACATAATATAATAAATGCATAATATAATAAATGTAGCCACATCATTTATTTATAAAAAGTATCTCTTTGGAGATCCTGTATTTTTCGTCCAATGCTTATCAGAAGGAGTATCATATTGATCTATGTTATATTGCCATGCATCAATGACTAGTGCTGTCCAACTACGCATACTCGCAAGTGTTCATACAGAAGGTGGCTCCTGTTTTTCACTCAGATTCCTCTTTAACTTAAAAAATGTAATTATATGCATTCAAGGCTTTTTAAATTATGCCATGATTTATAATTTATATATAGGCCTATATATATATAAATCAAGATAGCCGTTAACACTGTTAAACTATATAAATCATCAAAGAAAGGTAAATACAGTGTCCGAATAAAGGACTGTGTATATACAAATACATTGTGTAGCATTCGTTTAGAGCTATGCTACACGATGTATTTATGTCCTTTATTTGAACGTTGTATTTACCTTTCTTTGATGAATTATATATATTCTCTTCTTTAACGTGTTCCGTCTTTTGACATTACGCTTTCCACAATTTGTTCCTATTTGTTTCAGTTCAAGGCAGAATGATTTGTTATAGTGTTTGTGCTTTCATGTCCTTCCAGGTTTTAATTTGGCTCACAAACACACACCCACACACCAACATATATATAATACTTTGACTTGTAGGTGACATAGAAATATTTTGTTATTTGCGAAATTTTCGGCAACTCCTGTTACCTTCTTAGTCACATCGTTTAGACAAGTATATTTTGTAAAGTTTATAGATACTCAAGCGCCGATGAAAATAAAAAATATGTCTCCTAGTCAAAGTATCGTAGCTGTTTATTGTGTCTACTTAGTTAT